GTGTATGAATTTTGTAAAGCATAAGACAGATACTAGAAAACCCTTAATGGGAACAGAAGCAGACAAATGATGCAAAGTGAGATCTTAGAGTGCAGTGCAGCATTTTCTAGCTAAGCTTATACCCAGAAACAGTGGTGAAAAGTACATTTACTCAAGTTCTATACTTAAGTATAATACTGGGGTACTTTACTCTAGTATTTCCATTTTATACTACTTCTCTACATTTCATTGTAAAATAGTGTTTCACTTCTTGACATTTATTTAACAGCCATAGTTCCTAGTTGCACTGTAGATATGGTATGACTTGGTTCTGAACCTTGATCCAGCAGGTGAAGTCATTAAACTGACTGTAATATTTTAGAGCTTGTGTTTTATACATATTTCTACACATTTCAGTCTCGTTTGGTATCTTCGGAAACTTTTGTAGAGATTACAAATAAGACACACAACTGTAAATTATTAAGCTTTAGAGGTGCTGCTATGTAGGTAGATTGTGTTACAATTTGACAGAGCCAAGCCAGCTTTCCAGTCTTTATGCTAAGCTAAGCTAATAGTCTACGAGCTGTAACTTCATATTTACTGTACAGTCATGAAAGTGCTACCAATGTCCCAATTTTGTTGGAAAACAAATCAGCGTATTTCTTCCACCACTGCCTGGTAACTCAATTTTAAGTTACATTGTCATCCTGCTCCCACACAGTAAAATACACAAAACATACAAACGGACACAGAATGCACAATCTCAGCATGAGATCTAATGAGTTACGACAGCGAATCCAGTTTGTGAGGATTTCTGTCTCATAACAAAACTTCAACTGACAACAAGCTGTGCAAAGATGTATTTTTAGAGACAGCTCAGACGTGTACTGACAACTTAAGCTCCTTTCTGATGCTCTGTTTTAGTGTTCACTCTGTTTACAAACAGAAACAGGTGTATGGTACCTATACACACACACACACACACAGAGTAGTGCAATCACGACAGCGCTGTCAAGAAAAAAAGTCTAATTTAACAAAAGACTAAAGATGCTCCTTGTATCATTAACATTTGTTTTGTGTACAGCAGCACAGGCAGTTGCCTTGGCTGTACGTTGGACGAACCATTCTCACTACATTTTCTGATGAACCTCTTGTTGCTAGGCAACAGTGGTTTCCCTCCTCCCCTTCCTTCTCCAATGCGGCAAGAGGAGGCTGAGCTGCTGCCTGGTGATCGACTGTTCACCTGGAGGTAGATTGATGTCTGGATCTATGAATGTCATCACACACACACTATTACTGGTTCGCTGTGCCGAGCGTTCCCAAGGTGAGAAACACCAGCTCTGGCTCTGCAAAAATATGATTCATCTCTAAGCTGTGCTTTCATGCGCCTGCAGTATCAGAGTATCTATTTTATGATGATCAGGCACAAAATCTGAAGCACTACCGTGGCAACGGAGGAGCCCAAGAGCTGAGCTTCTGATTGCACTGTGGGTGATAAGATCTATAATGACGCATGTTATGAGACGTGACGAATCTGAGATGAAGACAGCACTGCTTATGGGCATGTGTGGCAACTCAGGAGTCTGATGAAATGAATCTGATATAATAAGTTAATTTAAATACTAATTCAATTATATGGCAGTGTATTACTGCTGTCATGATCAAGCGGATACTGTAGCTACTCAGTTTCCAGTTATAATGTGAACATTTTTAACATTATCATTTGTCACATAATTTCCTGTTATCACCACCTTGCAGATTTTAACTAAAAACATTTTTGTTAAAACAAAAACTACTACTATTCCATTAGCATTTAGCATTATCCAGTAGCTGTGGCCAAACAGACTCGTGTTGTAGTCTTTCTTTAATACCTGCCTGCAAGTTAGCATGGTCACTGTGAGCATGTCAACGTGCTGATGTTAGCATTTAGCTCAAGCACAGGTTCACCGAGCTGCTAGCATGGCTATCAAAGGTTAGCCTTGTTTAACTACTTATCAGCTTACTATTCTATAACAAGAAAGTTTTGTGCATTGATAGGTTACAGTTATATTTTGTATAATTATAGGAATGTTTTGTGATATAACAATATCCTTCTGTAAATAACTAACCAAGAAATAGATCCTTAATCTAACTATATCTGTGCATGATTCATTTTCAGCAGTCACACTATAATACCCAACACCGATACCATCACCACCACATCAAACCACCGACAGTAAAGTGGAGGGGGACAACCAAAGAGAAGGTGTCATGACAAGACCTATGAAACACACAGAGCAAAATATAGTGTATGTCGAGGTGAACTGATCCAAAATGCAAGGGAGACTTAAATCAATGACAACCACCAACTAAAAATAAAAACCACAATGCATATGAGACCGAGAGCGTGAGAAGAGTGGGGGAGCAGGTGGTAAATGACCAGTCACCAAGCACAGGCAGGCAGGCAGGCCACCAGAGACGACAGTTATAATAAATGAAAACCAAAAACCAGATTAGAGTAAGAGGAGTGGGATGAGTGGGAGAGGGAAGCAGGGAGGGGAGAGGAGGAAGCCTGGTGGACACTGACGTCAGGTCGTCCTTACTTCTGCTGGGGGAGTTCCAGAGCGTGGCAGAGGACTTGGACAGCCTGTTGTTAATGACAGGGTCTGCCTGTCTCGGCAAGTTGACCGTGGAGGCCGAGCATCTGCCTGCACCGGAGAGAATGCAACAGACAACAACTGTTCACAAGGCGTCCGGGGTGCGAGCAGCGGCCCCAGCTGATGACTGATGCAGGGCTGCAGACACCCTCGGCCTGCATCTGGAGGGACTCACCATTCTTTGAGGTCAAACTGGCTTCTTATTATCATTTAGAGGGGGATTAATTTGAATTCAGACATTGAGGGTGGGAGGAAATTTGAGGAACGTATGGGAGGGAAGTGGTGTAGTTAAAAGTCTCATTTGGAATAACTACTTAAGGCGTTTTTGCTTTTAAATCACACACACACACTCACATTCAGAATCTTTCACTTTGACCTCAGTGTCACAGGTCCAATAGAAGCAGAATGTTAAACACCATCCACACAACAGAGTGAGAAGGGACATTAGAAAGACTGTTAATCTAATGAAACATATTCATGACAGCTACCCTGTTGCTCATCTTGATGTCTCTGTGAGTCTGAATGAAGAAAACTGGTACTCAAAACCAATTATTGCCCAAAAAACAGAGACGTTCACTGAAGAATCACAAAGGATCACCTTCATAAATTACTGTGTAGGTCATATGCCTCTAATGCCGCACCCTTACTGACAGCAAATCCATCATAATTTCCTTGAATTGCATCAGTGCGATCAGTGAGTCACAGTCTGTGCAGTGCTGATCAACACGAACACTTGAGTCACAGTGGGGATATAATATATTCCTGCCATTGTGTCTCGCTTCTTTCAGTGGCCATGTGGTTGTGGTTTATGTGAAACTCACTTTCTCTGCGGGAGGTCTGGTTGAGCCCGCCCGCCCAGGACCACCTCTGCTGGCGAATCTCAGCCCACGTCTTCTTTGTCGACCTCTTGATAGCCGCTTCATATCTCTCCTGGAGGATCAACCCGTCAAACCTGAGTCAGTGTTTGCACGTTTACACTCTCTGGAGTTCATCTGACAGTTTATTAAAGCCTCATGTGGACTAAACAACCCTGTAAGCCACAGGGTTGGTAATCAGTTCAGGATAAACCTGAAAGGTTCTGAGAAGTAGGGCTCAAACAATTAATTGATTATCAATCAGGAGAAAAATGATTAGAAACTATTTTCAAACAAAAATGACATAAACCTGCTGTCTTTTCTTTGTTTAAAAAAATAAAAAATCTTTAAGTATGTTGTGTATAGGACATTAATAGTCAAAAAGTGACATACAACATGTTAAGCAATTAGCTTCAGAGGTGTGGTAGGTATAGTTTTGAGCTTTAAACAGACTTATACTTGCTGTTTCCCTGGCTAAGCTACGGATCTCGTCTCCAGCTCCAAACTTAACAAACAGATGAGGTACATCAGTCTTCTCACCTCTCAACCAGAAATGTCAAACTATTCCTTTAACAGTAACTCACATGAAACAATTTGCAGTTAGAGTTAGCAGAACTGTCATGTGCAACTTTTGACCAGAAGTCCAAAAAAAGACTCTGTTTAAGAGGATGCAAGCCAAAGAGGCTGGGAACTGCTGCTGTGTTCAGTGGCTGTTAATTTAAATTCCATCTCCCCCTCAAAAAAAAAAAAAAAAATCTATGCTCATTGCACCTGGAAATTTGGTTTTGCAGCCATCATGAATGCAATTCAAAGATGGGACCAAATCCCCGTTACACAGACAACTGTCCAGAAGAATGCTGTAGTACAATAAGTGTTAGGCTTGTGTTGATTTTTCCAGCCTGATTTCAAGTAACAGTAAATATTGTGGAGAGCAGGACACAGTCCTGTCTCTGGTTGTGTCTGGGAGTGTTAATAATTAGACACATGCTTTAAAATCAAACGGTTAAACCATAACTTCTTCATTACAAATTCCATGCTTCAGTTGTTTCATCCTGAATTAAATGCATGTTTCTTACTTTGTTCTTTTCTAGTTTCTGTCTCTGTTTCTCCTCCAGCAGAGCTCGACGTTTCTCGGCCTTCAGTCTCTGCTGCTCCAGCTTCCTCCGGCGCTCCTCCAGCTGACTCTCCCTCAGGCGTCGGGCTTTCTCTTCCTTCTCCAGCCACTGAGTCTTCTTCGCCGCTGAAGGGTCGCCACACAAAGAGAAGTCAAAATTTGGACAGAAAAGAGAAAGCTGGATTTGTTTCTATTTGACCTTTTTGTAACCTGGTGAATCCCACTGTCATTTCAAATGACACCTGGCAGCAGTGGACAGCACATCAAACACACAAAAACAAAACAAAACTGAAAAGCAGGTGACAAGTTACAAAGCAGCTGTCAATAAGAAATAAAAATAAGAAAGCTAAAATGAGCTAAAAATCATTTAACACAGAAAGTGCTGCAGAAATGAGAGAGGAAGCTTAGAAAACAAGAGGTTGCTGAGGATCTTTACTTTTAGTTTTGTGTTCCTTTGTCACTAAAGTCTGAGGATGAATAGAGAGCAGTCAGCTGTGTTGTGCTCATTTTTGTAACCAAGGCCCTGCTTATTTCTTACCCTGCCATGACATTATAAACTTTTTAAATGGCACCTTTCTTAAATAATGTTTATATTTTTGTCATAAACCAAAGCATTGGACAAATTAATTAAAAATTAAAATGAATTAACTGACCGGGTGGTGGTACAATGTGAAAAGTAAAGGGTTTGCAGAAGTTATTACAGTTTATCCTGTATGTGCAACAGAATTCATAGGAATCCACCCAGAGGTTGCAGAGACATTTCACTCAAAACCACAAGTATGAACCCTATGGCAGCACTAGAGGATGATCAGGGAGAACACCAAAGTCAACCGGGTTCATCCTCTGGGAACCACAAATATGTGTACAACAGTGCCAGTTCAGTCAGTAAATGTGGAGAAATGTGTTACTAGATAAATGAAAACCTCCCCCTGCTGGTGGGGCAGCAGAAGAGTCAGGGAATCACTGAAATCATAAGACGTAGAGTCACAAAGGAGGATGACAAATATCTGGAGCAAATTTAATGGTAATCTGTAACTGTCCGAATATTTCACTCTGAACCAAAGAGATGGACTGACTGACATCACCTAGAGACCTAATGAGAAAAACAAAAAGCCAGTAATACAGTCATTTAAAAGTGTTTTAGAGTGAAGACTACAATGTTTTGGCCCAAACTTTCCCCTAATTGAAACAATGTAAAATCACTTGTAGCTTCTGATAGGCCTCAACAGATGGAAGACAATGTGTTCATTACACTATAATCTTGACAACAGTAAATAAACAGAAGTTCCCCACTGTGTTTTACTGCACCCTCCAGTCCTCCTTTGCACATACGCTGCTGTGGTTCATTTCTTGGAGGAACAATTAAACAGCACTCAATCCTCTTAAATGACACTGTTGCCATGCTGGGCAGCAGCTGTGTTGCTCTCTCTCTTCTATGTTGTATAGATTTCTGTTTTTGTTACCACATGTGTATGACTCTTCCCAGACATATCTTTAGCACAGTGCAGAGATGAAAAGGTGAGCATGGAGGATGATGTGGGTGGGTTACATGCTGGATCCAACTAAACGTCTTCATATTTTCTCATATTGCTGTGAGTCAGACAACATTAGAAGCACGTGGCAGTGGACTGATCAGCTCTGCAGGGATGTAATAATGTTGTTTGTGAGGCAAAGGCACGGTTTGTATTTTACAGGATTCTGTGGCTCAGCTTCACTAATGAGTCCAAGAGGCACACGTGTGAGCGTCATCAGCAACAAGAAAGCCTCCTTTACTCCTCTATAAATCCAATTTGTGAAAAAATTCTAATTTTGCATGTGTTCTGTTCAGCAGAATTGAAATATGTCTTAATGCCTGTGCTATTCAGTGCAAAGCTGCTATTATTTAACTATTCTTCACAATATGTTCTGATTTATTTGTTGCTTAAAGGGTAAACATACAGTCAGCATCATGTTTTGTGACCTACATGCCATATACTGTTTGCAACCCAGTGCATGCTCCATCTGAAAAAGCCTTAACATGATGCCATGTATTTACACACAGAAGCTGACTGCAGCACATTGTGCTCATCTCGGAGAAGCTGAAGCTGAGTAAACCTCAAATGCTGTCTTTTTTTAAAAAGGCCCACATTTCCCCTTTTATTGAGGTGCGACTCCAGCATGACCACATTACTGATGCTAATGAAAGTAGTAATTAAATCTAATCTGTCTAAGAGGCCTGGTTTCAGTTCATGGCAATGACTGCTCATTTTTCACACCAACATCTCTGCAGGGAAACACCTAGATCTGCTCTGATTGGGTGCTCAAGCTTTAGCCTTTGTCCAGAGGGAGAAGCCTTGTGTTTGAAAACAAGGTATAATCTTTCATGATTCTGGGCTTGCACGATGTGTTCACAAGTAGAATCCTGATTGTACAGTAGGTGTGGAACATGCACATGGAGTGGCAATACAGAAAATATGAGGTCAAAACTAATTTAAAGTTTACATGAGAAGAAACATTTAGGTCAAAAGTGAAACTGCTCAGGGTTCGTAAGTTTCCACTGAACAGCAACAATTAATCGATTCATGGAGGGAAGAAGAAAAGACACGGCTGTTCAGGGCAGAGCGGGGGAAGCGGGAGGAAATGGATTTCCCTTCACAAGATTGATTATTCCTGCGAACGCTGAAGGCTTTAGTGAAGCCTCTTACCTTGCAGCTGAGTTTGTTGTTCTGAGAGCCATGCAAGGAGAAACAATAAGAGACGTCAATAAGTGTCAGTTACGTCAGAGCAGAGTGACAGAGATAGAAAGAAGGATGTTGATACCAGGTTTAAAACACCACGGAATAGAAGTTTGTGCAGGCAAGAAGTTAGTGATAATAAATCCGTGCTTCATGCAACATCAGCATTTTGTCCTTTCTTACCAATGTATCTGGCCCTCTCCTCCCTCCGCTCCTTGGCAAGTTTCTGTCGTTGCTCTGAGCTCATTGAATCTATGAGGAAAAAGAAAACTTAGTGTTCAGTGATGATAACAGGGCACAGAACGTGGTGGAGGGATCATATATCTGGCCTGGGAGCATCTGAGGGTGAGGAGATGTCTGAAGGGGGAGGACACGCACGCTCCTAGTAGATGACTTTGTAACGTGAACACTGTCTTTCTACTGTTAATCCTGATATCATCACAATAAAAGATAAAACAACTGCTTGGACATAATAAGCCAATATTTTCTGCATGGTTAAACCTGAAGTAACTGAGAAAACTGCTATTTTGTAATTTGGCTGAAATGTTACACTTCTGATAGACTTTACATGGAAGAAGTCCAGATCTGCAGGAACCATTCCCTGATTCAGTTTCAAGGTCAGCCCAGCTCCAACTCTCCCTAATCTGATGATTTTCAGCATGTGCACAGCTCAGCTTTAACTGTGATGTACAGCTAGGTTTCAGCTGTTCTCATCTGCAGCGATAATCAGCATGAACCCTGATACTCTTTGAAAGCATCAGTGGTGTAACACGAGGATTTCTGTTGCTCTTTTTGCCTTAAAACCAGCTGTGAAAAGCCACGACTGAAGAGCTGTGCACACACTGCTGTGAAAACCAGGACCCCTGCGGTGCTCACTGAGCCCATCTCCTCTTGTGCTTCATCTTCGTGCTATGTAAAATGTATGCCATGCATTTCTCACCAATCACAGAGGGCCCTGCAGCACTTCAGCTCCATCTCCATGGAAACCTGAATCTCCTCCCTCCTTCCTTCCCCTTCTTTCAGAGCGTTTCCACATGGCTTCAGCTGATATTCAGACGCCATAGATCCAGTATACAGACTTAGATGCCACGAGCCGCTGCTCTCCGTTAGTGCAATGTGTAAACGTGGCCGCCATGCTGGGACGGCTCTTCCCCAGTTCAACATGACAATAAATGCATTCTCCTAGTTTGGTGTGGAAGAACTAACCTATGACCTTAACTACAACCAACACTTTTGGGAAGAACAGTGTTCTGAAAGTAGTGTAAGGTCCATAAAAATGCCCTCGACACGTTCAACAATCACACATGAGTGTAATGTTGGGTAAGTATACTTTTGACCATAAGGTCTACATATCAGTAAATAATCACTAGAAATCTGTCAGAAATTAGATTTGGGCCTTGCAACTTAAACCAACACTGACTCTTGTGTGTATGTCACATGTACTGAAGAACACAAACTTCACCTTTCTTGGGCTGAGGGCTGCTGCTGGTGCCTGGGGTGAATGGCCTGACATCTGCCTTGGAGGAGTCATCTGTCTTGGTGGTGGGGGTCTCCACTTTGGGGCTGGAGTCTGTTTTAGGCGAGAGGTCTGTGATGGCCGAGTCGTCTGGAGTCAGAAGGTCCTTCCCCAAAGACTTGTCCCCGTTCTGGATGGACTGAGACTCTGTCTGCAGGGGCAGAGCTGGAGCACAAGAAGAGAAGAAGGCAGCTCGATTAATACAGCAACACATCTCAACCTGGCAATCGACGCATCTGATTTGTGCTGTCACAGGAGTTTTTGTCTAATTCATTTGTTGTGTCAGTCATGATCAGTGAGCAGTTTCCAAGGTGACACTTCCAATAAACATCTGCTGGCTTCTTTTCTATCAGCATTGCAGACACATCTTCACTATAAACCCTGAAACCTTGATTAACACAACACTCACCTCATTATAAATCATTAGCATCTCTTTCTCACACATGAAAAAGCCTCCTGTCAACAGTGTTAAGCACATGAGGTGTAGAGGAGACGCTAAGGGTGGGTTTTCTGTTGAGAAGCGTAGCTGAAGCAACAGATTAACAGTAAAATAAAAAGACTGAGAGGCTCAGATTCACACTGACTTTTCCTGGAGGGCAAGATGAAACAAATGAGTTTGTTACGTAAGATGAAATGCTTTCATAGTGATTATCATAGGCATAATCGATGCTAGCCTGGCTTGATTATCCCCACAGAGACAGCTAAAATGGTTTAAAAATCCCAGACTTCACTGTGGGACACAAAATACACACAGTTTAAGCCCATTTGAGCATTATGTGAGACAGGGCGTGTTAAAAATGTAGCTCAGACTCAACAATAACAACTTGTTGAGATACAATTTGTGATCACTGACAATTAATCAACAGACATTTTGTAATTAAATAATGCTTACATCTGTTTTTAAAGTAAAAAATGACATTTTACATTTCAAAGTTTCATGATAATCGACAGATTTTTAAAGCACTTGAAGATGAATATTTTTGGATTGTGGGCTGCAAGAAACATAAGAAAATATCCTGGATTTTAAGCTGTAGTATGGACCCTACATTTCCCATAATGCATCTTGACAGCATTAGGTGAGATTCTGCCTCGCTGATAAATGTGCATGCCTTTCCATGCTCTTGAACTTCCTGTCTGAGTCCTGACGTGGGTCATGTGGCAATATTTTCTGTGAGACAATAAAAATATATCAGCTGAGATTTTGGCACGTTGTTCATAATGAGGTATTTGTCCTTTGATATTAGGCAACAGCCAGAGTACCCGGAGAAAACCCACGCAGGCACAGGGAGAACATGTAAACGCCACAAGCATCTTGAATGCTTTAAAAACATCCTTACATGAGCACTATTCCTGTCTGCACACTAATGCAGTCATGAGGCCAGACTTCCTGACCTCTGACCTTTACAAAGGATAACAAAGAGGTTGCAAAACTCCAGAAGATACATCCCGTTTTAATCACTGCCCTAAATTTGTTTTCACTCTCGACTGCCCTGCTGATACAGTTACTGAGTTCTGCCCAGTTGCCCACGTTGTCTCGTTTTTGTTCTCTGTGTGAACACACTGACGAAGTCTGTGACAAACTGCACAGAGCTGCGGTAACACACAGAGGAGCAGGAAGGAGGAGAAAGGGCAAATTGTGCTCTTTTCATGGGCATGTGGAGTGTGAGAAGAGAGATTACATAAAAAGGAGAGTTGGAGGACAATGAGAAAGCAGAAACGGTGCAGAAGGCTGTTTTTATAATGACAGCAGAGAGAAAAGTAAGTGTGGGATTTGAAAAGACAAAAAGGAAGACGGGTAAATACAGGACCAGGTAGGCACAGAGCCGAAGAACAATCGGGGGGGAGCTCAGAGACAGTGAGGTAATAAGGTGAGATGCTGGAGGCTGGAGGCCAGCTCTCCACTCAACAATGGGCAGACAGAGTGTGACGGTCGGGCCCGTCAAAACACTCACCGAACCACATAAATCACAGATTAACACTGGGCTCCTCTCCAACTGCCCCGACTATACTTCAGCATAAAGCCTAATGCACAGGCTGCACTGTAGAACACTAATGGAGGAATGAAAGGATATGAATTAGAGCAGCCATTTGTGTTTAGATAAGAAAGCAGCTGTACAAAAAAGGATGTCAGTTCATGTTCAGACAGGACCACCTGACAGTGAAACAAAGGATTAGGATTTCACAAAAAGAGGATTGCAGCGCTCTTCCTGACTTGAGAAGATTACTTGTTCACCGATTGTGGCTGACTTTTTGAATTTGATCAGTTTACCTGCCACATAAGGCTGGAAGAGAAGCTGTACAGGCCCAAAGAAGGAACAATCACGATAACTAAGATCACGCTCATTCCTAGAATTTAAAATGAAGATTAACATATTCCAAAAAGTGGTGCTGATTATATTGTAGTGTCACAGTCAGAAAAGCATGATACACATAAAAACAAGTAGGAGAATAAGAGATTTGAAATGAAGCTTGAGAACAATTAAAAGTTTTTTACTATGCCATTGTTTAAACAGTCCAATAATACTGTCTGGTGCCAGATAGGGATGGGTATTACAGTGTTTGATGACCACTAAGTCATTTGTTCCACTTTTTGGGTGTGACTGCTTATGAAAATCTGGGATGTAATGTTTATTGTACTGCATCTTGATTTCTTTGGATCATCACCACGATACACTGCACAGAAAAACTACATAACACAAAATGGCAATGTTAGAGGTGAGATCCATCCTATGACTCTAGTTTATGCTGCAAAGTGGAGTCTAACTAGTTATTACCATAAGAACAGCATGGGTGTGGTTGTGTGTTTTCTTCCATCTCTTACAGTGTTGAAAGAGGAGTGATGACGGGAGCTGTGTTAAAGCAAGACAACAGTTTAACCTTTTGAAAGTTACTGAGTCAGTTCACTGGCCTCATGGTTCTTCTGCATCCTCTGCTACAGTTATTATGATTGCATTATGCAAGATGAGTCCAAAATCATAAGGGAAACACATAAAAAGGAAGATTTCACAAAATAACCGACATGTTGCTGTTTCAAAGTATCTAAAAAGCATTCAAATACTCATATTCCTGCCAAATATTGTGTTCAGAGTTAACTACATTTATTAGTTCCGATCAGAGGTTTTCACACTATGAGGAGCAGCTCAGATCACGGGGCTGTAGAAACAGGAACTACTAACAACTAGTTCTGCACATTTAATGGTGCAAATTTGGCTAAATGTAACCAAATATATACAAAACAACAACAACAACAACAAGAAACCTAAACTCTAATTGGAGCAGTATATGGTACACAAAATCCATGGCAACAATATACTTCTTGTTTATAACTATATGGTACACAAAATCCATGGCAACATATACTTCTTGTTTATAACCCCTGTTAGGTATTTTTAGTCAGATAGATATTGGATAGATACTTTATGTATTAGAAATGTTTAGTGGAGATAGGATGTCTAGTTAGACTGTTAAATGCTTAGTCATGCTTATGAGTTTCTACAGGGTACATCTGGTCAAGGATAACTAGAGAGAAGAGTTGATGACTGTCAGCAGACAGGATGTTTAATATTATTATTATGACGTGTATAACTGTAGCCTTAGCCATAATATGTTCTTATGTTTAAGACACGACATGTTACTAGAGGTTGTGAGAATGTTTTTAGTTACACACCACTTAATCAACAGACACACACATTCACACATTGATTTGCTTCATGTTTTGACTACTGCTATGACCAGCTGCAAAGCTGGTAACAGAGACGTCTCGGTTGACGTTTCTGTGTAGTATGGGGCTAGCCCAACCGAGGGGATATAATGTATAGGCCTGGTGGGTTCAGGGTCTTTCATCTTACATCTGCCTGCGAGCAGTTTGGAGGTGCAAGATACCTGAGCGTGTAATGTTAATTTTACCTGTGATCCTTTGAATAAATCAGCACTGTTTTGAAGTTACTTGGACTGTCTCGTCTCTCAGAGTTAGCAATGGTAACACGAACCAAAGACCAACACCCCCAAGGCATTATGGGAACTGTATTATCAAAAGCTAGAGCGTTCTTCCCTAAATAGACATAAGACAAAGAATAATCATAGAAGTGACAAAATCCATGACTATGAACTTTTTAAAATATGTTCTGCACTATAATTTTACAAACTGATTTATGACAGGCTGACAGTGGGGATGGGGGCTATGATGTCTCTGTTCTATCTGGGGGTGGCAGTGACGCTGACGACAAGAGTTATGCAACATTCAACAGTTAATTCAATGGCAAAATTTCACAATTGCCTCCAACACCAACAAGCACTTAATACTTGTGCAAACTAAATTTACAAGATGGAATAAAACCTCAACTGACACATTCAGCCGTAACATTAATGGATGGATCTCAGGTTCCTGTGCCACTGTGACAGACTCTGGGTTTATAAATAGCGATAAGTACCACACTGAGAATTTCGGCCATAAAAGGGACTGGCTTCTGTCAAGCACCTTGGGACGGCTCACTGACCACAGACTGCAGCATGTAGTCCACCATATTTACTGCACAGGCTGGGTACGAAACTGTTTATTTGTTTGTGTCTGGGCAACATTGGCTGGTAAAATCTGAATCCATATGGAACAAAATCCGTTTTAACTAAATCAAAACGAGTTGAAATGCAGGTGTGTGTGAGACATAAAAAAAGCCACAAAGAAAATGGCAATAACACAAACTACCTCTGAGGCCACAGGACAACGTCATAATATTATTAGTTAAAGCTTCAGTGTATGACTGTACACTAACACATAGCGGCACACACGAGTGCCGCAGCTCTTTGCTCTCTGGTTTGTTGTGATGTTCAGTGTTTGTATGTGTATTTAAGATCTGTATTTATACTGTAAGCACCAGAGAGGAGCAGCAATTTTTAGCGATAATAATAATCAGCGATAATTTTGTTGTATGCGGTGCAACAGTGACAATAAAGGTTTTCTTAGGTTTTCATATTCTAAATTATTTAAACAGGGAAGGATACTCAATAAGAGCTGAAGCCAAATTTAGCTGCATTAAATTACAGCTGAAATTGACCAATGATGGCCTGGTGGTTTGTGATACATGAGAGACACAAGGTCACTTTTCATTGACAGCTGAGAGAGTGTGCATGCTTGTTCAGTTAGTAATGCCCTTGTGCATTCAGCTGTG